TTGTTTAAATGATATAAATGCATATTTGCTGAATGCTGACGGGCTTGCTTTATTATTTATTTAATTAGTTATTCAGATTAATGATTCTTTCTGTCATATGATTGAAGAATACAGTGACATTGAGCTGTCAAGTACCATGAGTTAAAAAAATGAACCATAATACTTTTCCATATTATTATTTATTTATTTATTTTTGTTGGCCAACATTTCTGGGAATGATCAAGTTTACCAGACTTTGGACAAACTGAAAACAATCTGGTCATCTCATTTTGATGTTTTTCTTGCACTGTAGTCTTTTGGACTAATGCTGCGTTCAAGTCCTCCTGGGACGTTCGTACTTACGAGTTGACAAGTCGTAATAACGACGTCAGGTGCGTTCAAGTCACTTTGCTCGGAACAATATGGCGATTTTACTTTTTTGCCATAAAATTCAACGATTTTTTAAACTTTACATCTACAAAATGATGAATAAAGAATGTGCGTCATTGTGTTTTTGCTTTTTTCTGTTTTTATTCAATTTATGAAGGTGATGTAAACTGAATCATTATATGTTCTTTGGTAATTATACAATAATATAATATTTTGTATATGTAACATATAGTTTTATTTTACATGACAAAAAATTAATCATTTTATTAATTTCAACAAATTTACCATCAATACAGATGCTGCATATCTAGTCTTTGGATGCGCCCATTGCATCCAACACGTTTTCTCACTGACACGCCCCCAACTCGGAAACTCGGGGCTTAAAGAAAATTTCGAGTTTCCCACTCGTAATAACGACTTTGTGGTGGCGTTTTTGAGCACTGTGTGCGCAGGCGCTGCCATTCTCAGCGCCGTCAAAATAAAAGTCCCGCCTCGAACGCATCGGCCAAACAGAAAAACGTATCGGCCGATGCCGATATTTGAAAAATGCCAGATATCGGCTGATGTATCGGCATTGGCGATATATCAGTCGATCACTAGTTATGAAGCTACGAAAATCCTTTTTTTGCACAAAGACAACAAAAATAACTTTATTCAACAATTTCTTCTCTTCTGTGTCAGTCTTCGATGCCCGTTCACAATTTGATTTATTTTAACTATATCCTTGCATTGCATCTGACGGGTTTGGAACGACATGAGGATGAGTAGCCTAATTAATGACTGAATTTTCATTTTTGGGTGAACTATCTCTTTAACCATTCTATCATCCACCAGACAATTTGATGTATAATTCATTTCCATAGCACAAACAGTACTGGAGCCTTATACATCGGTTTACGGGTCTGTTCATATCCCAAATCGTAAGTATGAGCAATAGTAATAGCGATGCTTGCCTTAGCAAACACCACTGATGAAGGCATGTTACAGTAAATATTGTTCTGATGCTTTGATCTTCTCTCTTCCTCTGTACAGTAGGTCTTTCTACTTTGTGACTCACATGTGCCCGACTATGTGTGATCATTAATGACTGGTGTGGTGAGAGGAACAATCAGGCCTCAGACTGTGCTCCGGCTGTACATCATCTCGACTCACCCACTGTCAAAAAGGTTGGTGCTGCCAGGACGAGACAAGGTAAGGTGGGCAGCGTTGTCAACTGGCGACCTGCCTGCCGCTGGGGACTGAAGTAGCAAGACAGAATGTGTGGTGATTGGACCGGCAGAGTTGTACCAGTGGATAACAGGAAGTGGTTTTCCACAAGAAAGAGTTACAGAGTCACCCTCCACATAGATGCCGCTTTCAGGAGGGAACAGGATTGTGGGCTTGGAATTTGTCATCTATAAGACCTCATGAAATCAAAATGTGACGTTTGTGGTCTTTTAGTTAGTCTTATATACTCCAAAAGGTGGATGAAATGAACTTGTAGCATATTATCTTGCAAATTATCTTGTTTAGAGGATCATATACAATTTTTTTCTGTTTACATTGATGCTCTCTATAATGAGATTCCACCTGTCTTTGACTGGAAGCAAGCAGCAAGCAGCAAAGCAGCAAATCACAGTTCATTGATTTGTTGTGACATAAACCAAAACCTACTGGCTACAAAAAAAATAAAAAAATACAGGAAATCAGACTTCGCGTCAAGACATTTCATGGTGTCTTTAAAAAGACAAGTCCGGTCAGTATCCTCAGCTAAATCTAAAGCATTAAATCCACAACTTGTTTTCCCAGGCCCAGAGCTGATCAGGTCTAAAGCCGTTTCTTCTTTTTCCAGCAGCCTACGGATCACGTATCTATCTCAATTCTTGCCATTAAACATAAACCACTCTACTTTTACACTGACCTGCATTTTATCAGTGCGAAATAAATCACCCTTGTAGCCGAGCCAGGAAAAAAGCGATACGAGCCAACATTTGGGAAAGATCTCTGTCATGTTTTATCTATTCTGAAGTCTGTATATCTCTAAGCTTATCAATCATGTTTGGAGACACAGAACAAGGCTGAGGAATAGCCTCAGAGGAGGCCAGGGGAGGGTTGTGTGTGTGAGAGAGATGTGTATTAATAAATATAGGGCTAGTTGTGTGTGATGTTGACAGCTGGGTGGTCTGGTACTCGTCATAACCTTGTGCAGTTACTCCTTACATTCCGCTGTCCAAGAGCTTATCCCCAACAGCACACACAAAGCTCACTCTCACAGCCTTCTCATTGCCAGCCAAATAAACCCACCCCAACTCCCCCTTTTCCAGCCAAACTCCAGCTAAACTCTCTGCCCTGCTGGAAGAATATACTGTCCCAACTCACTGTACGGTAAACCTGCATCTTCGGCTACTTCTGCTAGCAAAATTCTCTTTTAAAGATTATCCAGGGTGTTGTGGGTTGTTGCCAGGCTTTTATTAAGGTGTTCTGGATGGTTGCTATAGTGTGCATTAGAGCATCGTCTTACCTGATTGGACACCGAGTCTTCCCGCTGATTGTGCAGAGCTAATTCCGTTGTCAAACAGGCACTGGTAGATTCCCTGATCTTGAACCATTACTGAAGAGATGTGAAGGGAGGGGCCAGCTATTTGAAAGCGGGGTGAAGTAGCGAGAGGGGCGGAGTTGAGGAGCCATGTGATGTTGGGGGTTGGACTACCATTGGCAGCACAGGTAAATCTCACAGAGGAGCCTACTGTCACAGCCTGATCTGACAAACCTTGCAGGATGCTTACTTGCACTGTAAAGAGGGGAAGTGCTGGAGTTAATATACACATAAAGAAATAATACAACTATTCTCCAAAAACTACTAATTATGTGTTTCTTTCTATATTTCTATGGGATATTCCTACTTAATATTTCCAACATCTGATCATTTTGTTGTTCGTTGTTAGGAAGTATGTATAAAGAACAAAAATGGCAATGCTAGCCTTTGTTGTACAGGAGTATAAACATTTAGAAACAAGTTATAATATTACATTTCCAAGTTGGACATCATGTCCCATTTTATTGCATATTTCCTGTATATGAAAATTGGAAATTCTGACTTTCACAGTCGAATGAGATGGAATAATTCAGACTCTTCATGCAAGGAACATTACCCAGTGCTTCCATATAAAAGCTGTTGAGCTTGAGAAGAACCTGAACTACATGGATTAAGCTGCCCCAAACCTTAGTAACATAATGGGATATTAATATTAATTCCTTACCAAGCACATTCACAGTGTAGTTGACACTGACCGCAGCTCCATGATCAGTCAGAACAGAGCAGCAATAATGTCCTACATCACTCAGCTGAACATCATTCAACACCAGGTTGCTTTGCAACAACATCCATTTGGAGCTCAAAGAAAGCTCCGCTCCATCTTTAATCCATTTGACCTTTGAAGAATGACTTCCTGATACGACACACTCAAGGGTCAGAGATCCAGACTGGTCCACTGTAAGACTGCGAGGGGTGACGGGATAGATGATCCTTACAGGTGAAGGGCCTTCTGAATCTACATGGAAAGAAAGAGTGCAATCACATTATTCCTTCATTCAGAAATATGAATATTTTAATTTAGAGTATACACCCATTATCTAACAATAGAAAAAACATCTCAGAATATATAGCTGCTGATTTTATAGCAAAACGTATACAGTATGAACTACATGGGAAGTATAACTCAAATCTTTGTGGTACCTAGAAAAACTAATAAGAGTTCGCTCAACCAACCCCCCACATGATTGTAAAGCGCTTTGGGTGTACAGCAATACACAATAAAAGCGCTATATAAATGCATCATTCATTCATTCATTCATTCAACCAACCTCTGACTATGAGTTTAGTGCCATGAGCCTCTACTTGAGTCTCTCGGGTTAGAGGATTATAAGCACCACACTTATACATGCCCTGGTGTTCTGAAGACACTGACACAATCTGAAGGTTCCCGGAGGGCAGGATTAAATACTCGTCTGAAAAACAGACAAAAGAAACAATCTCTTAAAGTGTACAACTGTATATTTATGTATTTCTTTAGGGGACGGCATTTGAAGCTGTCTAGTCTGTACCTGTAGACTGTTCCAGCCATTTCCCCCGTATCCGGAAACGTGGCAGAGCAGGTGGATTGCTGCGAGGAAGTGGGCATTCGATAAAAGCAGTTTCGCCCTGGTTTACAGTAAATGTCCTCCGATGGGTCTCGGCAAACCTCTCAATATCTGAATGAAGAAATCAAAAGAGTGCTCAATCGCATCCAAGCAACAGATGTAAAATAACTTTTTACATGACCAAGTAAAGATTTTCAGTTGAAGAAAGAAGCTGTGTAGTGATATGAGAGAAATGAAACTAGAACAGCTAGTTTCGTAATTGGCTACCTTTGACAATAGTCAATTATACAGTTCAGCAATCATTCTACAAAATATCTGACCAATGAATGTGGCAACTGACCGATCAGAATCAAACATTTGCGAGAGCTGTGTAATAAACTGGTATATTCATTCATAGCAGCAGCAGTTCACACAAAGACCTTCTGTCAAAGAGGTGTTTATATTGGATTGTGAGTGGCAGAGAACATGTGCTTTCCACTGAATAATGCAGCCTTATCTGCAACCCTGATCAGGCCCAGGTGGACCGCACTGCCCTGCTTCTGGACCACAGAGAGAGGCTCCACACGAAAAGAGAGCGACAGGACAGCTAAAGGAGAGAGACATGGGGGAAAAAAGAAAAGAAATAGATCAACAGACCATAATCCATAAATATTCCTCCTACAGCTTGCTGAGAAGACATTTTATGTAATTTCTCTCTTAGCATTTCAATTCCAATGGCTTGACACAGGTGTGTGCTAATGTTTTTTTTTTTAAGTGTGTTACTAACATGGGCAGTTGAGGAGCAGGGTATGACAGACGCACAGCACAGCGGACAATAATCTCAGGCCACTGTCCTCCATGACGCTGTTTCACCTCTGTGCACTAACCTGGGGCCTCACACACACCCCCTCCACACACACTGCACACCTGGAACACACAAAAACAAACATTAAAAACAGTCATGGGCAATACAATATATGAAAAGACTGAACATGGTCAATGACAGTATAACATGGTTCATGCAACAGTTACAACAACAAAGGCTGTTACCAGCAAAACATGAAATGTGGACACTTTGCCACATATTTTGTTGATTATAGATGAAAAATACATAATTCTTCATAATTCTGTAAAGTGTATTTAAATACAGCCGCATGTGTCAAAGAGCAAGCAGAAAGAAAGATCAAATAAGCTGAAATAACAATGTGCATATTAAAGTTGTTCTAAGGGGTTTCAGTACATCACTAGGTGGTTGATATGGTCCAAAGATATGGTTTAGGTCACTCCTTTAATGAAAGTTTGTAGGAATTTTTAGCTCATATTATTATTAGGTAATGATAAAACCACCAAAAACAAAAAAACAAACACACAAACCACTTTGAAAGGTCACAGCACACCTCCCCTCAAAATGCCACACAAATGAATGTAGCATTCATGACTATAAGGCAAATGACAACGGATGCAAAGAAGTTTATTACTTGGAAGTTTGCTCAGATGGCTGAAGTAGGAATCCCTAAATAATTACCAATAACAAAAGTTACCCAACAGGCCTACTCTTTCTACAGATAGCACTGTTTTCATCTTCTATCTATAGCTGGTCGAGGAGTTCAGCTTGTGGGAGTTACAAAACTTAACATTTCACAGTTAATCCTAAACAACACTTTCAATAACCTTTATGACACATCCCCTTACACATGCCTTGATCTCGTACAGCCTTCCCCCAAAGAGAAATTTCTTTCTGCTGATCTACGACCCATTCCCACAGAGCGCTTCTCCAGTGAAACAGAAATTCCTGAACTTCTACGCCCCCTCACCCACCCTCAACCTACAATCCTTCTTCTCCCTTGCTCTCTTTTGCCCCTTTATTTCTGCCCGTCTCCGATGGACTGCATTTGAAGTCTGCTTGTGGTCTACTCTTAATATCACTATCCAGTCACAGTGCACTGCTTTCTCACAGACTCACTGTAGCCTGAAGAGCCTCCATATGGCTTTCACACACTCACACACAGTCTCAAACGCCCTAAAAGAAAAACCAGGGGAGCGCCCAAAGGGTGAGACACGGAAAAGAGTGAAAGGATCGTAATTAGGAGCATTCCTCTTTGCTTTTGAACCCATCCCTCCCCTAGCGCCAGTCCTCTGTATCTGGGCTGCGTTAATCCGGAGGGCCTTTGATCACAGGCTCCTGGTCTGTGAGTGTAGTTTGGGCCAGGGGCTGGCGGAAAATGGCCGCCCAGCTGTGATATTCACACTGTGAAAGACAAGGGGAGCGCCCAAAGGGTGAGACACGGAAAAGAGTGAAAGGATCGTAATTAGGAGCATTCCTCTTTGCTTTTGAACCCATCCCTCCCCTAGCGCCAGTCCTCTGTATCTGGGCTGCGTTAATCCGGAGGGCCTTTGATCACAGGATCCTGGTCTGTGAGTGTAGTTTGGGCCGGGGGCTGGCAGACAATGGCCGCCCAGCTGTGATATTCACACTGTGGGTGCCATGGGGCTCTGTGCCCAGCCCAACATCAGCCCAAAGGACAGGCCACTCGACTGGGTCAAATTAAAGAGGTTATGTCTGGGTGAGACCACTAAAGCTGAACAGGTCTGTGACAGGACACACACACTCAAATTTACTCACATTCAAGCATACTAAATCCTTCTCTTACGTCGCTTATTCCTTTTTAATGTTTTCATGAGCAGTGCTTGCTATAATAAGCGGTATTATTAGCTAAAATTTATTATAGTGTGTTAAAAACCTGACAGCTGACTTAACTGATGGACAAGAAAATAAGCACACAAAAAAATCCCATTACACTGAAGCACAAATCAGAGTTATAGCTTGGATCCAAAGTCAGGAGTGGGCTTTTTGGTCAACCACCTAGCAAGCATTCAAAACACCCTAGAATCCACCAAAACAATGCCCTGGCAACCATAACATTGTGCTAAAACAAAAGCATATTAGCAACCATGCTGCAACTACCCACAACACCTTTGGACGAGTGCTGGACGTAAAAATCAAGTTAATAGTTGCATTCTGAAAGAATCTATTATCCCATCATTAATTTTAGCTGCAGTGAGACCTTCAAACACTCTTTGCAAGCATCAAACATGCACATACATACATATAATCTCCCCCACCCCCTGTGGGACCACTCAGAGGAAGACGAAGTAGGAAACACAGGAAATAATAAACTCTCCCAGCCTCCTGCTCACGCCCCCTCTAAAGCCAAATGTCAAGGGTCACCGGAGAGCAGAAAGTCAGCGGGTGTCTGGCAGTTGTGGCCCCGCCCCTTGGGGTCACCCCAAAAAAAAGGGTGATAAAAGGGTCTGCACTTGGCAAGCACAAAATACAGCAAGGCAGCAAGGCACATAGGCGTTTAATAAATCTACACACTTTTGAAAACAGATTTCATAGAAACTTTACCAAGATTAGCCATAAACTCAGCAGATCTCAAAAGTAAATATGTATATGTATGCATTGGTAATAAACATGTGTGTGTGCATGGTTCGTCAGCCCAAGGATTCTAAGGGAAACGTGTCTTGTCCACGAGTCCCGAAAAGCCCTCTGCAGTGCCCCTATGCCATCAGTGGAAACAATCTTCTCACTCCCAGAATAATAATATATAATTACAACAATAACAACAGCCTTGAATGAAACACTGGCAAAGATGGGCAACATCGCCCCATGTGTACATAGAAGGTGATGGTATGTACCCTTGGAGGGGTGGGTATAACCCAGGATAAAGATATCTGGTGTGAGGAGTGACGCTGCGCGTCTTGCTATCTCTGCAACAGATCTGGCATGACGAGGAAACACAAGCATCATTTCTGTGTTTTATCTCTTTGCCTTTCTTTTGACATCCGCCTGTATGTACTAGGCTCAGGGCAGACAGACACTTTGTAGGATATCTGCTGTCCTCCATCAGAGAGAGAGAGACAGGCAGCTACTACTATATGCAGGCAAGAGAGACAGCAGGGAATTGGAGCAGTCTAGAGCCTTCAATAACAGAGATATAAGTATAGAAAGAAAGACAGAGCGGGTAGCGGTATGCTGAGACATGTCTGATAGTAGAAGGGAAGGGAAGTCCCCTATACCTACTGAAGATCTCCATCATACAGGCCACATCAAAAGAGAAGATTAAGGGCAAAGGGAAAACAGGGCAGAAGGAAGCAAGGGTTTAACAAACAGAGAGAACATTAACCTGACAGCGCCTCTATTTATGTAACATCATTGTACTACCAATGACTCAAGCAAGAATGCTTGCTAATAAAGCTATGGAACCTATGACTGAGAAAGCTTTACTCTTGGCTATCCAATCCTTGGTAGGAGAACCTGCTTAAAAGTATGAAATAGCTTAGACCAAATAGAATCATTATAAATCTACAATCAGGAGGTACATTTGGCTGAATTTCCCAGAAACCCTCAACAAAAACATTAACAGACATGGAATTTTCTTGTTAGCTTCATGTTAAGCTCTATTACGCACTTTAATTAAGATTAAGGGTATTGGTAATGTTGCACAGCTGATGTCCAGAGTTTTTCTGTTGAAAAGATCAGCTTAGACTATCCTGGATTTCCATGTTGGTTGATTGAGGACTTTCTCAAGCCAGAAGAGAAGATTCACACACACTGAGTGTTTTTCTGAGAGGCTTCCAAAGAGCCTGATCAAACAGCAGTCCAACAAACCCACAGGCAGTTGATGATCATAAATCTAACCTTATCAGCTGTCAGAGTAAAAACTGTTTTTCCTTTCTGTTTTCTCTCTGGAATGAGGGAGCAAGTCCAGGGTCATACCTGAGATCCTGCCAAAGTGCGGGGAAGGAAGACAAGACTCCTCGGGATGTCTAAGAGCATCCATCCTTAAAAATGCTATATTCTGCAGTTTTACAAAGACTCTTCCAGGCATTAATTAATGTGCAGTACAAAGTATCCACACTGAAAATAAAAGTGACTCTGATACCCTCATATCTGTATATGACACATAGCCTCTGCAATAACATTCTGCTGGAATGCTGGGGCAATCTTGCAGAAAGATGGATGCAGTGTAAGCAGAAAATAACAGGATGACAGCAAGGAAACAGTCTGACAAGCCCCTAGGTGTGTGTGCAAAGGGGGCGGGAAGTGGCACCTGCAGTCCTATAAAAAGGTGTGAACAAGAATGAGTCTTTCTCTGCAGGCAATGCTTGAAGTGTCATCTGCCCTCTGCCCAGATCCCTGTCATATTGAGTAAACACGGACAAAAGACCCCACAGGGCTATAGAAGAAAAGGTCACAACTGATACAAAAGTAGAGGCCTGAACTTCATGGATAAGAAACAAATAAACTTAGCAGTAAAAGATCCACAAAATGGATCTTATTAAACAAACAAATGAGTCGTATGGCTATGGTTATTAAGCAATGCAGAAAATAAGGACACACAAAGCAGCAGAAACATGAGGGGCACCAGAAGGAGAAAGAGACTGAAAAACACACGACAGAAGACAGTGAAACTGTAAGAGGAGCAGAAGAGTGAGTGAATATCTTTTCTGATAGTCTGATCTGACCCTATGTGGTAAGGTTGATACTCCTGCTGTATCCTAAACCTGTCCACACTCGCCCCCCACAAACCCTGCCAGAGGAGCCGCTCTCCACACATTCCACAGAAAGAGAAAGAGATGAAGGAGAACAAAAAAATACAGAGGTTACAAAAATAAAGGAAAAAGAAAAATATGACAAAATAAGAGAGGTGGCGTAAGTTAAGTGAGAGAAAACAAAAACTGAGGCAGGAAGAACAGGAGGTAGAAGAGTGAGAGGAAGGGAGTGCCAGTAGGGTAAAAAAAAGAATTCATCGGGAGGTGAATACTTGCCAAACCTCAGTTCATTTCCCCAGATAATGCCCGACAGACAAACTCATACTGTGTGAACCTTGCTTGTAATCCTCCCAGTCAACTGACAGTACAAT